TTCCATTTCATTTTTGACAACTTCCAATTTTCCCAGATTCATACTTCGTACATTCTATGTTCCAATTTTCAATGGATGTTTACAGCTGTTTCTCTTCATTTTGAGTTGTGGCCCATCAGCAAATGAAGGTTTTGTGGGCTTTTCTCCAATGAGCTCAACTCTATTCACATCATCATGGTCAACTATACTTTGAGGAGGCATTTCCTCCCCAGTTGCATTCTGAGTGCCTTCCATCCTGAGGGGCTCATTTTCCAGTCCTGTACCTGACAGTGTTTCTCTGCTATTCATAGACTTTCCAGTGACTAGTGTCGGGGAACAGCCCCGACAAACTTATTAGGGGGCTCACGAAGGGAGATGTGGAGTCGGCAAAAGAAATCACACAGAGTCGATAGTTTGTTCTGAATTCAGGATGATGATGATTTTACTCAATTATCTAGCTCCTTATATACCGTTACAATACTCCATAATCATCAATTACATTTTCTCTTGATTTATGAGCATTCAAGTTACATCAAGGCACATCAAAAATACCTCAAAGAACATTAAAATATTTTTCCTGATCATTTTATATATCATATCTGGCTTCCTTGTACTCCTTAGCTACCCTGATAAGATCTGTTTTTCATAAGTGACTTTGTTCTTCTCTAATCTTCCCTAAAATGTCAGGTTAACCTTAAAACATAATTCTGAGTCTTAACTCCTATTTCTACCCTCACCTATTATTTTCTATAGATTCATTAATCACAACATATACCTAAACATTATTTTCTATCATAACACACAACACAGTTGTTTCTCATGATTGATTAAACAAGAAAAACAAGAACATAAAAAATCACTTTAAAAAGTTTTGTAGTTAAGAATAAATGGAATAACTTCCTTATACTAACAAGTTCTCTATTCAAAACATCTAGTTAAATTTCTACCTAAGATCTATTACTGTTTCCTCAGCCCTTGATTGTGTCTAAGCTACTTTCCAGGAGTTTTAATATCCCTGACCGAAACTACACAGAATGTAGAACAGAATGTTGATTGTAGTCTTAAACTTGAGTTGGCAAAACTTTACCTGGTGTGAAATTTTCCTAGTGGTGAAACTTATTGTTAATGTAAAAAGCATTCTTTAGGACTACACATGATTGAATATGGTGTGAAGATGTCTAAATGTAATTTTTAATCCCTAATATGATTATAGAAAAGCATATGATTACAAAAAAGCCTACTAAAATTTTTTTATGATAAAATCAAGAAAAAAACAAAATGAACTATTCATAAAAGGAAAAACACAGGAACTTCAGGGCCCTCACATGAGAAGTCTCCTCGGGGCCTTGCCTTCCAAGGAGAGACTCATTGTGGCCTTGTTTAACAATGAGTCCTTCATGTGTAGGGTTCCTCACCATTCTGTTCCTTGATGGCATGGCCTCTCCCAGACTAGCGATTCAGAAGTAATTCATCACTCTTTCTTCCTAGTCTGTCTTTGTCTGGCAGCTCATCTGAAATCTGTCCACCATGGGTGACCCTGCTGGTTATTTAAAATACCGGTGGCATAGCCCTCAGAATTACTGGACTGTTAATCACAAGGTCAGTGGTTCAAACTCACAAGCCACTCCTCAAAAACCCTATACAAGATTACTGTGAGTCAGAACCAACTCAATGGCACTTAACAACAACATATGCAGATGATGCAACTTTGCTTGCAGACAGCAAAAAGGACTTGAAATATTTACTGATGAAGATCAAGGAGTACAGTCTTCACTATGGAAACAAAAATCTTCACAAGAGGAATAATAAATATCATCATGATAAATAGAGAAAAGATTGACGTTCTCAAAGATTCATTTTATTTGGATCCTCAACCAACACTCACGGAAGCAACAGTCAAGCAATCAAACAATGTATTGTATTAGGAAAATCTGCTACAAAAGACCTCTTGGGAGTTTTAAAAAGCAAAGATACCACTTAGAGTACTAACACACACCTAACCCAAGCCATGGTATTTCCAATAGCCACATATGCATATGAAAGCTGGACAGTGAATAAGGAACACTGTAGAATTGTGGATCCATTTGATTTATAGAGTTAGTGAAGAATACTGAAACATCATGAAATGCCAAAAAACAAACAAATCAGTCTTGGAAGAAGTACAGCCAGAATGGCCCATAGCAGACAGGATGGCAAGACTTTGTCTCCCATACTTTTGACATGGTATCAGGAGTACAAGTTTGAAAAAGATCATCATATTTGGCAAAGTAAAGGATCAGAAAAATAAAGGAAGACCCCAAGAAGATGGATTGACACAGTGACAGCAACAATGGGCTCAGACATAACAACAATTGTTAGGATGTCCCAGACCAGGCAGTGTTTTGTTCTGTTGTGTATAGGGTTGCTATAGTCAGAAACAATTCAACCACAAGTAACAACAACAACTTTGTGCCCACTATCAACCAAAAATAACAAAGAAGTCTGTTGGAGATGAAGGAAGGAAACAAAGTCAGACAGGAGAGAGACCATTATGAGATCCTGGAGGAGGAAGTGATAGGACAATAACAAAATTGCACTATCCCCTGAAGAATGAGATCTCAACAACTGCATAGGCATGGTTCCGGGCCTTAATTATGCTTTCATTGATATTATTAAGATAAAGTGGTTTTCCTAGTATCATTAATTTTTATTTTAATCACTCATATATGGATCTCATTAAAGTTCACAGTCAGCTTTGTCTTCTGAGGAACGACAAATGAAAATCTAGGGAGTTAATGCTCACACCATTCTTGCACTTGAAATAAGGAACTTAAGCACAAAACAAGAACCAGAGCCTATGGAATTCCAGGACAATAAAATGTGCTACAAGCTGGGGGCATCAGAACTGGTATCTTCTCGAGAGATACAGTTGTTCTCTCTACCACTTAGCATCATGGGGTTTGAAGTGATGTCAGAAAGCATCTCATCACATCACCTCATTTTACAGATAATGAAACTGAATCCCAGAAACACTGAAGCCCTTCTCAAGGCCAAAGCAAGAATTCAGTTATTCTGTAATTGAGTTCAACACCTGAGAACTCCATTTCCAATCCTGTGCTCATCCTACTTTTACTAATAGTAGGATGCTTCCCATTAAAACCAAACCCCTTGATTGCTACAAACCAGTGAAGCACTCAAGTAGTAATTAAAGGGTTAGCAGTTTAACCCTCAAGAGGACCTAAGAAGAAAGGCCTACCAATCAGATTTCAAAAGGTCACAGCCCTGAAAACCCAATGAAGCACAGTTGTACTCTGAAACATATGGGGTCACCATGAGTCAGTATTGACTGGACTACAACAGATTTGGGTTCAGGTTTTTTTGCTGCTTTGTTGTTTTTGTTTTTGGTGTTGTTTTGTTTTTGTTTGGGCTGGGTTATCGCTATGTAATTGGAAGAAAAGAATAACAGCTTGTTTGCCCTCATTCTTTCAAAAATCTCTTTTGGGAACAGCTTAAGAAATTGGATGTTTGTTTGTTTTTTACCATTTCTTCTCCTTTCATCCTATGTAAAAAATCAAAACTCTAAACTCATGACAGTAGGGATGAAAATATTGATAGAATTGTGAGCTGAATCTTCACAGGCCCTGATAAATCATTTATCTAATTGGCACTTGAACTCCCACCAGAAGGAGTGTGAAGTCTCAGACTAATCATGTGACACATCTTGCAGTATTCCCTTATGCAAACTCTCATTGTTAGTCATGCAAGAACCAAAGTAGCCTGAGGGTGTCCAGCTTCTTTTCTCTTTTCAATTGCCAATGCCACTAAAATCACCCACTGAGCTCATAGGCTAATAAATGACTTAATTTTTCCATTACACAGAACCTGAAGCGAGTGGCTGAGACCTGGATGGATGAATTCGCTGAGTACATTTATCAGAGGCGGCCAGAATACAGGCACCTCTCCACGGGAGACATCTCTGCACAGAAGGAGCTTCGCAAGCAGCTCAAATGCAAGGACTTCAAGTGGTTCATGGCTGCTGTGGCCTGGGATGTGCCTAAATTCTACCCCCCTGTGGAACCTCCACCTGCTGCCTGGGGGGAGGTGAGGAAAGGCTGCATGAAGTCTGTTTTGACCTTAGTGTGTTCTGATTCTCATAATCTGGGGTGGCGGGAGGAACTGCTAATGCCTTCCAGTCTTTTTCCCTGCAGTTGAGTACCAGTTGCTTAAATCATCTCAGATAAATGACTATCCAGTCTCTTTTTAGAGGTTACTAGAAACGAGAATTCAGCTCTCAGTCTTGTTAGCCCAACCCAGGACTATTGGCCACTGTTGACTTCTCAAATAGACTTTTTACATACATCTGGAAAATATTTGTGTTTGAAATTAGTGAAATCGCCTTACGAGCCTATTATAGCAAGTGAAAATACCTGTCATGCTACTGTTTAAATAAGGGTGACCTGATATCCATGATAAACTCCCTGGCTGTCCTCTGAGCACGGCCATGTTTCTGCTTGTATAGTGAAAGACAAGACAATGGAAGGACTTTGCTTTTTCCCAACCAGGATATACACCAGGAAGAATTATGAAGAGAAAAGTTTCCATAATATACAGAACTGTGCAACGTGCAAAAGTCATGTCAGTTCCTTAAATAAGCACTAACATTTCCACCTCTGAACGCCTCTATTTCATTTCCCTTTTTGAGATAAAATGGAAAGAGCTGAATGGCCTCAGTTCCTAGATTCAGAATATCTCTCTTTTGGCATAAAAGGACTATTGTGCCAGGATCAGTTCCATTCAATACTGATACTTTAGCCTTTTCCGATAGAATAGTGTTCTAAAGCAGACTAAAAATGAACAGGGTGGATTTTTTTTCCCTATCCATTTAATGTGATTTTAGCAGAGGATATCAAGGGAAAATGCAGACTGTGCTCAATGCTAGCCCCATCCCAGCTCTCCAGTCTTTCAGAAGATGAGAGTTGACTGCCCAGCATTGTGAAAGAACCCCTTCATCATCAGTGTTGGTTTGTAGTGTTGAAGAGATCATGTTGTTGTCTGATGAATGTCTGTGTTTAAAGAGCTCTGAAACAATGTTGCCCAGGGCTCAGTAGGAGAAGTCCCAGTGAGCCTTGGGAAGCTGTCTTGTGTGAGTGGTCTTAGCTTCCCATAGAGAATGAATTCAACAAGTTAAAGGTACACCATGCATTCTGATAGGAGGGCCCAAGAAGATTCCATTTTCTGCCTGGATCTGGGCCATCCCAGTCAACAAAGAAAGAATCAAGGCCATCATCATAGACTCTGTCCTCCGATTTTTCTGTGTATGCAAAGGGGCTTCAAAAAGTTTATGGAAAAATTCCCTCTCTTAATTCCATTTTTCCACAAACTTCTTAAAGCTTTCTCATAACATTGTCTGTGTCAGTTAATCATTTGGTCTTATCCTTTACACCTAAACGTTTCATTTAAGCTTCCATGGAATATTAGCAACATTAGTCTGCTCATATTATTAGTAGTCATCTATTATGAACATTAATTACAGCAGAGAAAAATTTAAAGGACATACCAGAAAGAACTGTCATAGTCTAGCATGTTATAGAATTTAGAAATTTGCTATCCAATAAACAAGGCGCCCTGGTAGTATAGTGGATTACGTGAGCTGGGTTGCTAACCTCAAGGTCAGCAGTAAGAAGCTACCTGTTGCTCCACAGAAAAAAACAATCTTTCTACTTCCATAAATATTGACAGCCTCTGAAATTCTACAGAGTCAGAAGGGACTCAGTGACACACAACCACCACCCAATAACCAGGTGAGTTCCATTCTAGAAGTGTTTCATTAAGGTGATGTCATCCATAGTTCCATGGTGTATTCAGTGTAGTCCTGCCTTTTCACTGTTATGAAGTCAATTCTGACCCATAACAACCCACATAGAGTTTCTGAGACTGGAAATCTTTACTGGATCAGAAAGCCTCATCTTTATCCAGAGGAGCCACTGGTGGGTTTGAACTGTCAACCTTACAATTGTAGTACAGTGTTTATCCTACACCAAGCCTGAGGATTCTTAGTCTTGCTTTCTTCCTATTGTTTTCATTGTTGTTAGATGCCATCTAGTTGGTTTCTACTCGTAGCAAACTATGTGCGACACAATGAAACACTGCCCTGCACAATTAATGCTAGGTTCAAGCCCATTGCTATTGCCACTATGTGAATCTTTGTGATTGTTGATGTTCTATGGTTCTGACTCATAGAAATCACAGGATTTCTATGTATAGGGTTTCCAAGGAGCAGCTGGTAGGTTCAAACTACCAACCTTGTGGTTCACAGTCCAGTGCCGATCCTGAAGCACCACACCAGGACTCAATATCAATCCTAGTCACTACGAAATATACTTGAAGATCTCACTGCTGAGTTTAAAGTCCCATCAATCTTTTCTCCACTTTATTTGAAAATATTTCTTTTGTGTACATGTGTATTTTGTCTTACATGGTTACTACTTTAAACTACAAGTGGTCACATTTTTCACTTTACTTGGCTGAACTATAGCTTGAATTTATATAGCATCTTGCTTTTAAGTTTATAGAAAACATGCAAAGATATTACATGAAAGTCACATAGATCCTTCACCTAGCTTCTTCTCATGTTATCATTTTATATATCTATGATGTATTTCGCAAAAATAAAATGTGCATTGGTACTATTAGCTAAACTACAGACTTTATTCAAATTTCAGCCTTTTTTTTCCCCACTAATATCCCTTTTCTGTTCCTGGATTCATTTCCATATATGACAGGGCTTTTCAGTTTGCTATAAATTTTAAATGGGCAAAACTCCTAGATAAATGCAATAAGCCAATTGCTGTTTTAGGAAGAAAATAAAAAGGTGAATGCAGAGTGTGTGGTTCTTTTTATAAGGCAGTTACAGGAAGGACCCACAACCTCTAGCAACATAAACACAAGAATCCTTAATGAGAGATCTGTGCCAAGCAACAGGGTAACTCACCATTTTATACGCTTGTACTTGGAATACTTTTCTACATGCTTCTCTGTTGCCAACCTGATTCTGGGTAAACAATTAAGTGCTTAGGCCATTTTTGGCTCTGGTAGTTGGAATGCAGATCTGTCAAAGATATACTACAGGCCATAAACAGCCTATAAACTGCTACTCTGCCCTAATATATTCAGCTGGATTGCAGAATTTGTTTAATAACAGTTCTTCCTGTTTTTCTGGCCTTATTACCCTTCAGTTTATTCTTACCACCACCACCACCCCACCACCCCACCCCCTGCCACACACACACACACACACACACACACAAAATAAATAAATAAATAAATAAATAAATAAACAAACCCACGGTCACCAAGTCAATTCTTACTCATAGAGATTCTATGGGACAGAGTACAACTGCTCACCATAACCCATCTGAAAAAGAAACCAAGTCATTCCTCTGTTCCAGATCTTTCCATAGCTACCATCTCTTTCAAAGTAATAGCCCAAAATCTTATATTGTTGTTGTTAAATGCCACTGAGTCAGTTCCAACTCATAGCAACCCTGGGTAGAGTTTCCAAGGAGTGGCTGGTGGGTTTGAACCACTTACCTGTGGTTACCAGTTCAGTGCTTACCCTACAGCATCACACCAGGACCCAAAAAACTCATAAGACCCTAAATTATCTGACCCCCCTATAATATCCCTCTACAATCTCTCCTTTTGGCCTTGTCATCATCCTTCAAACAGGCCATGCATAATCCCACCTCAGTGTCTTTGGCACTCACTTTCCTTCTACTTATAACCCTGCAACCCCGGAAATTCTTATGCCTCCTTTTCTTACTCCTTTCAGGTCCTTACTGAAAAAACAAAAAACAAAACCTATCTTCCTAACAAGGACTTCTCTAATCATCTTGTCTAAAATTGCAACAATATGAGCACAAACACAAGCATTCTTATACATTCCCAAATCCCCTTCTCTTCTTTATTTTTCTTGTTTCTCATCCATGTCCCCCACTAGAAAGTAAAAATTCAAAACCAAACATTGATGGTTTGCTATGTTACTATTGTTCTCAGCAGTTAGACACTATTTCTAGCTGCTTATAATAGGTGTTCAACAAATACTTGTTTATTGAATAAAAGGTGAATGAATAGAGTATTCTTGTTGTCCCACTCACAACCCATTGCTCTGTCCTCATGTCTGCATATCTGAAGTCTCCACAGAGTGCCCAACGCTCTCACTATGCCTCACTGCTCAGCAGAGCCCCTCCTCGACAATACAAACTTGGCCTCTTTGGAAACCTTGGCCGGAAGAACAATTTGATAAGTGGATTTTAGATAAGTGATTCTGATGGATTGTCAAATCTACAGTCCATATGATAGGCAAACAACATGAAATACTTTATTCTGACATAATTAAGGATAAAGATAAATTCCAAAAGTGAAAATACTCTTATCCTAACCATTTCTAAATTCTCCCTTGTTAGTTTTCTACTTACAAATCAAAAAGAGATTAAAGTCACATCAGACAGAAAAATACTTACCATAAAGGTACTCTCTAGAAACCATTCCCTCCTTTTGTACACAGGGTACGAGAGGATGGGCCAGAGAGAATAAAGAGGATTTTGAGACATGTGATATGTTGAACATTCCCTAGTGTTTTTAAAAATATAAGTAATGTACTTTTCTACTATGTTGGATAGGGCAAAAACAGGTTTAAAGTAAAAACCTACTCTTAAACCATTCGCATATGGAATGTCTTTTTTCTGTCAAGATGCTAAATGAAAGAAACTGAATTTCTTTTTTTCTCCTTCTTACCTTCCCCTCCTTAAAATTCATGACTTTACTAAAGCCATTTATAGTCCTCCCTCACAGTCCAAAAAGAATTCTGCAGAATCCTAATATCATGTGTAAGAGGCAATAAAAGATGTAAAATAGACAAACGTCTTTTCCAGCCAGTGCCATAAATTCTTTTAAGAAGTGTCTGCTTACTGTCCTAAATGTGCCAATCTTGGCATATCCATTTGTCATCTTGCAATTGTGAAAAACTTTTATAAAATCTTTATTTTAAAAATTCATCTCAATGCCAAACTACTGAGGTTGCTATTTAAATTCTTTCCTCA